GGGGCGCATGCTGAAGCATTCAAGTACGGATATCTGAACTCTCTTGAGTGTCATAATTTCATTATCAGGCAGGATAGGCCTCCCTGCAGCTTGTTGTGATGTTGCTCTCTTTACTCTTTAGCTGAATAATATGGTCCCTGTCGTTCCGTAAACGCTTAAGTCTTATTTGTTCGAAATGTTGAGAAATCAATGGAAAAGAGAGCGCCAAAATCAGAACCATGACTTGGGCACGGGCACTCATTATTTTTCATTTAATATTCAGGAAGGAAATAACGCTATAAAGTAAACGACACTTGATGTCTTTTTTCGACTAACTGCTTAATTTGTCTCAAAACCCTCATAAACTGACTTGGGCGATTGTGGAATGACGCTGACGATTTTGATCATGTCCACCCCATCAGCACAGCAGCCTCTTAAGCCCGCCAAATCCACTGGCTTAAGCCAAGTTGTTCAACTTCATCCACTGCCCCCAAAGTAAGATACAAGAGTAAGTTGTGTTTACCTAATCAGCTGTCCCCAAAGTTCTCGTGTCTTTACCCTCTCGGTAGTCCCCCCAAGTACTGACCCTATCGGCTGTCCCCTGAGCCTTGTTGTGTCCACAAAGTCATGTGTACCACACTAAAACCCTCCTCCCGAAATAAAGTAAAATGATAATAATTAAATCAGCACTCCGCTGTGACCGACTAAGCAGCTTCCTGGTCGGCCTGTCATCATGTCGTGCACCACCCGCCCCGAGGACACGCAGATCTAAAGATAGCACGGGAGATTCCTCCGCCAGGTGTGTTTGTGTACACCGCATCTTGCGGACTTTTTTACGCGTTAACTGTCACCACCGTCGCCCGCGTTTCGTTTAATTTTTTTCACATGTCCCAACCATTCAACCCGAATTCTGGCCGTTTTTTAACGGAAGGAACTTTTTCTGGTTTATTCTAACGTATTTTTGTTATTATTCTGTGCCCAACATCAACGACGGTGACATTTCGATCTCGTCACCTGGATCAATTTTTACCAGGCACGGTCGTCCTGTTCTGTGACCAAGGCGGTGTGCTTGGGTCGTGTGGTGACAGGGAGACCGTTAGGACACACCTGTATAGAGGTGTGCTGCTACACAGGGGCGTACATAGGTGTGTTCCTGCAAGTCAGAACTAGGGGAATGAATCATAGTGTTTGTTCAGGATCCTCCCTGAGACAGTTGCCGGGACATGGACGAGCAGCCGGAATACTCGGATAAGTTCAAGGAAATTTTCGACCTGTGCGACGTTGACAAAGATGGGTATATCGACGTGAGACACTTCACAGAGCTTGCGCACGACCATTTCGGCGCCGCCAGCACTGAGGTGAGCCATCGTAAGAAATCTAACTCGCACACATAATACGTGGCCTTTAGATTTGCTCCGTTTTTGACCCTGCATTAGGCTTTCTCTTCCTGCTAGGCTAGTTCCGACTAGCAGTCTTCATAATAACCTATGAGCAGAAAGGCATGTCTCTTTTCCTCCTCCGCCCCACCCCACGCGATGATCTTTAAAGTGCTATGAAAACATGGCCAATTGATAGTGTAAACAAAGCGGCTGAACCCATGGTAAGTGGACAAGACTGACCATCCAGGCATGGACTTGTCAATCCTGCCAGGTAGATAGTGTGCAGTTCGTTCATTGGCATGGTGATTACAGGTGATAAATTTGCATTGTCACCTTTTGTGCGCCTTGCACATTTCCTGCCCTTGTGCAGTTTGTACTTCATGCAGATCACCTTTTGTGTTGAGGAAGCTGTTTTGCAATGTAGATAGTGTGCGCTTTTTCATGAATGGCACACTTAGTAAAGTTGGCACCGTCTATAGTGTAGGTACATGTACACCATCTGAATGCTATTTGCATCGGGGCTGACTTACTTATGTGCTTTAACAAAAATATAGATGATCCAATGTTTCAGACCCTGTCAAGCTGGTTAAATGAGTTACTCATTTTTGCTCTGAAAGCACTGACGGAATATATTTGTCCAATGTTGGACTGGACATGAAGATTAAGGTTAGCCTGTGTCCATCCAAGAGTCCTGGTGTAAACATTCGATCATATATAATATACACATGTACTCAGGTGTAAACATTCAATCATATATTATAATATACACATGTAGTCAGGTGTAAACATTCAATCATATGTTATATATAGGCCTAATATAATGCATGTACTCAGGTGTAACATGCAATCATATGTAGTATAATACATATGTACCCCGGTGTAAAAATTCAATCATTTGTAAAACAGTTTAGACACATGTACCCTGGTGTAAACATCCAACATTCAATATGATACACACAGATGTAACCAGTCATTATATTACACACACATGTACCCAGGTGTAACCCATCATCATATTACACACGTTTACTCAGGTGTAACTGTTCAACCTCATATACACCTGTGTATCCAGGTGTAAAAATCAACATGATATAATACACAATACACATGTGTATTCAGGATTAAACATAAAATAACAGCAT